CACGTGATTAACAAATCGGACTCCCGCTTCGCGGTCGTCCGATTTTGTTAATCACCCGTATGATTACAGACCGAATTGGACTCCACTCAGTCCTATTACCATTATATATTAGTCATAAAGTAACATTGAGTCCAGGGCTCAAAGTTAACGACCAACTGGTCGCATTTGCGACTAGATTTTTGGCTGTGCGCCTAAAAAATCATGTGTGGTCGCACCACCACGCCTTAAAAGCCAAAGTACAGTGCGACTTCTCTAGTGCTTACTCACCTGACCATACTAACGTACTCCGATTGATAAATATAAATATAAACATAGATATACCACAACCAGGCATCAAATAATAAAGTTGCACCATTTTCCTTTCATCGGTGTGTGTTCTATTCGTCGTCTTTAAGCCTAATTTCCCAATGGATTCTCCGAACTCGAACGTTCATTTCTTCCCCACGTTCTGTGTTGTAAGCAACTCCGCTGACACATGCAAATGAAGGAATGAAGCACGTGCTTCTTGGTCGCCAAATGGGGGACATAGTGCCAGGCGGTCCCAGCGGAAAGCGTGGAAACTGGGGATGAGATTAAATCGTGTGCTCGTTCTTCGCGAACAACAATTACAGAAAGCTTTGTTTTCGCTTGTCTGACATACAAAAATGTCCAGCGTTTCCGGAACGGGCCGGTCCACGAATTCTATGGCTTGAAAGCTAGCCAAATGTGCAAAGTTCGTGCTAGTTCTCACGAATACCCGGATGTTGGAAAAATCAAGAATCTTCGTGAACAGAATTTGAAAGGTAAAGCAAACAACAAGCAACTGGATAGTGAGGATACTCAACGAAGCGACTTCAGAAGTTAATATCTAAGCTCAACTCTTGTGTGAAATATCCTGATTCTTTTATTTGTTTTTGTTGTGTTCAATACCGCTAGAATAGGCCCAGTTTGCAACACGAAGCCTGAGTCGCTCTTTTTGGAGCGTTAAGTATTCTTTTGGGGTAGCTGCTCCAAGTATTTGAAGCTGTGCGCCTAAAATTTTTAACTCTGCGCCTAAAATTTCGGCAGTGCGCGTAAAAATTTACACCCGGTCGCAGAAGTGCTCCCAAAGCCAAAAATAAACTTTGAGCCCTGATTGGTAATACGTCTGTGAAGCGAATCCAGGTAATCACCTCATGAGTAAGCTTTCTCACCATTACTCCAGCTAAGCGCCAGCTGCCAGAAGCGGCAATTTTTAATCTGTATATAGTGTTCACATAAAGGATATATGTAAAAATGCGGCTAAACCAACAAATGACGGCTAACCGCAAGTAAACCGGAGAGGAAGTTAACCGCTAGCAAGCAGGCTCACGTTTGTGGAACACAGGTGCCAGCGGCGAAACCGCGAGAAAAGTTAGAAAAGCGAGTTTCTTGGCGTCTCTTCACCAGATCAGACTCCCCCCGCGAGATCGCTTCGCGCGCATCTGATCCTCGGACATGCTTTTTTATGATATTGTTTTTGTTTCTTAAAAAAAAACAACTTGTATAAATGATTGTAGAATACCTATTCCTCGATGTCTCGTACTGCTACATTAGACAAGGAATACGTTTCTTCAATTTTGTTGTTTTTTTAAAGCGGTTTTCGCATCTGGGGCAGGTCGCACAGGTTCTAATTCTTCGAACCAATAGTTGAGATATGTGAGGGTACATTTGGATAAATTTGCATCAGATGGCTGACTGACGCATCCTTGAGGTCATTCCCCAGTATTGCATTGCGCATCCTTACCCAGCATAATTTCACGCGTGATTTGCGCGCGCGTTAAAAAATGGCGGCTTTTTGTTTACAGCTGGACCTCGCCATAGAGGTAAATAAATATGGACCAATTCTCAGTGTAGAACAAAAAGCAATCGTCAGAAACGTGAATTTAGCAAGCAATCGTGACTACAATCAGGTTGCCATTATAAGGATTTATGTCGGTATAAACAAGGTGCTGTTGCTCCTAAACGAACATGGGAACCCTTAAATTTATTTCAGAATTTAAGTTCCTGTAATATAAACAATCAATCGGCAAAGTTTCGCAAAAATCTCAGTGCAGGTTCTATTTTAGTGGAATGACCTTAATAGTCTATTTACATTAAATGTCTCGTGCTAGAGTAATTCAGATTTGGCAATTTTGCCGAAGAAATGTATGTCAGGGGGCAAGCGTTCTGTCCCCTGGTATATACTTCGTTGTCAAAATTGGCAAGTTTAAGATCCTATATTTTCACGAGTTTGGAACGGATTCTTACGAAACTTCGCGTATTTACTAAGTTTTGCGTGACAAATCAAGAGGTAAGGCTTAGATTTTGTTTGAATGAAAAATTCTACTAATCAATTACAACGGCTACTAATCCCGCAATCTGATTGGCTAATTTGCCGTTGTCGATAAGAGTCCAGACAACGCTGCTCGCGTCAATCTGTCATGCTCTTGGTCATGTTCTCAAAAAACATTTTCTTTGACGTTGATATTGTGGTAAAAAACAAATCGAATGTGGTTGAGCGTTGTCTGTGCTCAGCGTTGTTGTTTTCACTCAGCTGCGCCTCTTGAGTCCGCAACATTTGGACTATTGTGATGACGCATACTCGTTGTCGATAAGAGTACAGACCACGCTAAACCACATTCGTTTTGTTAAATCGAAAAACCAAGATCACAAGATGCCAATCTCGTTCCCAGAACCCACGTGTCTTTTGGTCAGCGCCAAGACACGGAGTGTCCGTGTCTTGGCGCTGACCAAAAGCCACGTGGGCTCTGGGAACGAGATTGACAAGATGCATACCTTCAGATCGGAAAAACGTAATAGGCATGCGCGCGTTTTGACTGTGCGCCAGGCCTCAAGTTTGAAAAAATGGCGGGAATTTCGTCGATCGTGTAAACAAAAACGGTTACGAAATTTGTATGCTTTCCCAATATTCCTGGTAAGCAGCAACATTTTAACGTCACTAATGAAAAGTTGCTATATTGTTTTCTTTGGAAATCAATTTTTTTGGGACAAAATTAACCTAAAGACGGTTTCCGAGCCCTTTATTTTTCCGCTGTATACCAGAAATTTCGTCCCGAAGAAGATTTAGGGGGTGGATTTTGGTTTAAACAGTATCGGATAAATTTGCGTTCACGGGCAAACTCATAGTAAGAACATATCCTCCATACATACAAGTTTAGATAGACAAGTAAGTTGCACAGGCGATAGGNGATAATAAGGTGTCGATTTCAGAGAGAGTAACATTCCTTTGCGGCTTTCCTTTGCGGCTTACCTTTGCTGTTTGTAGGATCAGCGAAGTGCTTTTAATTTCACCTTTTAAACGAAGATTTGGGGGTTGATTTTGGTTTATACAGTGTCGGATATATTTGCCCCTACTGGCAAACTCGTAATAAGAACATATCTTCCATACATACAAATTTAGATAGACAAGCAGGTCGCACACGCGATAGCTGAAGGGTCTACATAAAAATTTGCGGATTGGTAGTGCAGTTGTACTTTTGCCAGTCTTGAAGTGAATTGAATGAGCATTGTATGAGCACTGAAATATACAGTTTGCAGTAGTGATAATGAAGTCAGGGTACAATTCATTTGCAGTTTTCAGTTTTTTATGAAGTTTTGGAAATGTGCTGTTTTATATTTTCTGTCAACGAAAGAGTGGTTGTGATTGAACAATCGATAATCAATGCGAATAATACGAATGTTCATTGATGACAAGTATACGGTTAACAACAAATTAATTTTCTGTGAGGTAATTAGCGTTGCCAAATATCTTTAAAGACAATAAGGTGTCGATTTCAGAGAAAGAAACTTGTACTTTGCGGCTTTCCTTTGCTGTTTGTAGGATCAGCGGAGTGCTTTTAATTTCAGCTTTTAAACGAAGATTTGGGGGTGGATTTTGGTTTATACAGTGTCGGATGAATTTGCGCTCACGGGCAAACTCATAATAACATGTCTTCGATACATACAATTTAGATAGACAAGCGGGTCGCACACGCGATATGACAAGTCAAGAGAAAATGATTTTCTCTTGGCCAAGTATATGGTTAAACAACAAATTAATTTCCGGTGAGGTAATTAGCTTTGCAAAATATCTTAAAAGATAATAAGGTGTTGATTTCAGAGAGAGGAACTTTTCAGCGGAGTGCTTTTTATTTGGGTTGGTACATTTCGCTGACCCCTAACACATGGACTAACAAGATGGACCTGGTACATGAACTACTTGAGTGAACCACCAATGGACTACCCTAAATGTAAACTTCTAAAATTTCTAACCCAAAAGTTTAAGAATCAGTTTGTCTACTCATGTTCCAATCTTCTAGGAACAATTTTTAAAAGTTATCGCTTCTGCATGCATTGCGTGCCGTTTATATTACTGTTTGGTTAGGCCCAGGCTTCCCTTCATATTTGCGAAACCCAGCAGAACAAAAATTTCCGCATTCTAGGGGGAGAGATTTATCCAAGTTCAGTCATCTCGACTTCGAACCCCGGGGGGCTACTCCTATATATGGGCTATATAGGTATGTGCGGCCCTAAAGGGTATGGTTTTTCAGCCGTTTTGGTCATAGATAGGGTATCGAGTTTAGTTGATTTTTGCCATTTTGGTCATAGATAGGGTACGGTTTTTGTACTCTAGCCTTGATATGGGTATGTTTTTAAGAAGAAGCTACTTTTTCATCATTATCGAAAAGAAAATCAACAAAAGCCCTTCACAAATTACGTTTACGGTAATTTAACATTGGTCCGAACTAGGGAACTAATTATAACACAGGTCTGAAACAGGGTTTTGATTTAAGGGTCAGGTCATAAATACGGTTTCGAATTTTTGGTCAGGTCATAAATAGGGTAGGGAATATCGCAGATTTTGGTCATATATAGGGTAAGGGTTTTGGGAAGCGGGCCGCACACCCCACCTAATTTTTCTGGTAGTACCCCCCCCCCCGCCGGGCTCCAAACCATCTTGAGCTGATAGGCCAGCTGATAAGCGAGCTGACAGGCCAGCTGATAGGCCAGAGGCGCTGACAAGTTTATAGATATTTGACGGGCGAGTTGAGGCGACATTATTACGAAAGCGAAAGAAGCGCAATGGCCAACAGGTTTAGACAATTTCGGTTGCTATTATGGAAGAACTTTCTGCTTCAGGTAATGCTAAGTGTAAAATATCCTTTAAGTGATTTTTGGAAGTGAAATTTATACAAGTTTAGCTGTGGGCTAGAGCAGATGGCAAAAAGCTGGAGAACGTGACCTTTTTTCATGAATTCGAAGGCATAGAATCCGATGTTTACCTCCGAAGTCAGTTGTAATAGTCTTATTTTATCCCTTACCAAAGGCAGTGTAAACGTTAAACCTTGGCCTTGCTATTCTCCATCAACAATTTCTATTTTATATGTTATCTTTTTAACAGAAACGAAGACCGATTGGTACAGCATTTGAGATCGGCATACCCATAGTCGTGATGGCAATTCTTATTTTAATTCCGTTGTAAGTATTTAGAAACAAAATTTAGCTCCAGCTTATATTTAGACTGAATTCAATGATGGGTGTGAGTAAAAGATGCTAGTAACGTACGTGATTTTTCTTTCCTTTTTAAATTTTAATTTACGCTCCAGCGAGAGGCGCACTTTTCGTTTTCCGCTTGTTTGTTGTCTCTGCTTCGATCATAGCTATGTTAGTTCTCCCCTATAAATTAATACATGATGGTGTTACTTACAAAACGTGAGTGGAATTAACTTGATCTCCTACTTGGAGAAACACCATCAACGTTTGTAAAAAACATGGTTCCTTTAAATCTAGCCACGATGTAGTTAATTCATTGACTTTCTATTATTTACATTTAGTTTGCAATGAAGTTACATATGATTATAGTTGTTACTTTTATCCTTAGTAGTCTTGTGAGGACCCTGTTGTACACCAATTTTATTGAAGTTAGCTTCCTCAGTAAAAGTTTCCTTATTATTATATTTAACAATTTATGGAAAACATGTACCATATTTTTATCGAGTCACCATAAACTGCCGCTTGTACTACGATTACAAGATGGAGCTTTAGGGGACCGTTCATTTTTTATGAGGGAGGGGGGGCTGGTGGGATTTGGGAAGCACCATTTAAAAAT